ATTGGTGATATTGATCAAACTGAATATTGATTTGTCTGAGCATTGGTGATATTGATCATACTGAATATTGATTTGTCTGAACATTGGTGATATTGATCAAACTGAATATTGATTTGTCTGAACATTGGTGATATTGATCAAACTGAATTTTGATTTGTCTGAATATTTGTGATATTGATCATACTGAATATTGATTTGTCTGAACATTGGTGATATTGATCAAACAGAATTTTGATTTGACTGAACATTTGTGATATTGATCATACTGAATATTGATTGTCTGAACATTTGTGACATTGATCAAACTGAATATTGATTTGTCTGAACATTGGTGATATTTATTGATTTGTCTGAACATTGGTGATATTGATCAAACTGAATATTGATTTGTCTGAGCATTGGTGATATTGATCAAACTGAATATTGATTTGACTGAACATTGGTGATATTGATCAAACTGAATTTTGATTTGACTGAACATTGGTGTTATTGATCAAACTGAATATTGATTTGTCTGAACATTGGTGATATTGATTGTAACGATATCTGTTTAACTGTATTTACTTGTAATCTCCCTTTAATGTACCTCGCATGCGCGCCGTAAAAAGGAAGTTCTCAGTATGTCTCTCTCTAATAAATAACGTTGTTAAAACTCTCTAGTCTTTTCTGACTCACCAACTTAACATACAAGACAACAACGTTACATTGATCAAACTGAATATTGATTTGTCTGAACATTGGTGATATTGATCAAGCTGAATGTTGATTTGTCTGAACATTGGTGATATTGATCAAACTGATTATTGATTTGTCTGAACATTGGTGATATTCTTTGATTGTCTGAACATTTGTGATATTGATCAAGCTGAATGTTGATTTGTCTGAACATTGGTGATAGTTATAAAGCTAATTGTTGATTTGTCTGAACATTGGTGATATTGATCAAACTAATTATTGATTTGTCTGAACATTGGTGATATCGATCAAACTGATTATTGATTTGTCTGAACATTGATGATATTGATCAAACTGAATGTTGATTTGACTGAACATTGGTGATATTTATTGATTTTTCTGAACATTGCTCAATATTGATATACCGAACAATGACCATACATAACTTTAATCCAGTGAATACTGGAACATTGATTTGATTTTGATATTTTGTATTACACAATCATTATAACTATTACAATCATTTTCTAATCTCTTTTATTTTCATTGGTAATCAATTATTAAATATTATGTAACGGTTGGATTGTTACTGTAAATATTGGCGAGATCCTTTTGTATAGATTACAAACTGAATATATCTTCAACAAGATGTCATGATGTAGTTACCAATTGTCTGTATTGATTATCAAGCATTCTCGAATTCGCGTGATTTTGAACTCATCAGATAATATCATATAACTCGCTGTTGTGTTTCAAAACACCAATGGTAAATATGCGTTCACTATTTACTTTATCAATTGGATAATTGAGGTGAAAGCGTGATCGCATCCCCTTTTCACAATGATGTTTTTAGCACATACATGTATATGTACAATTGTTTAATAAAAAATATTCACAGAGTGTGTAGACATATTGGTTCTATGGATAGAGTATGTTATAAATGCTAACCTTCTCTTTCAGATTCCTGTGGTCCACCCCCAAATATAACCAGTATGTTAACAGTGATACCTGAGTTGATCGTATCAGGATCTATTGTAAACTATACTTGTCAGTTCAATAGAAGTATAACGTTAACAGCAGTATGTGATTCAAAGATTCAAGAATGGATATATGAAGACTCTGTTATCTGCCCACGTAAGTTATTGTTGTTGAGCATAATACCATCACAAGATCAATGAGGAAAATAAAACAAATTGAGCATCCACTCATTTAAAATCGATATAGTCTGATTAGCGCAAACGTCACACACTTTCTAAATAGCAGCAGGAAACGTTTCAGTCTTGAACTTTCGGATCCAGTAGATTTCGTAGGATTTCTTTTATTCCAAGACGTAGGAAAGGGAAGAAAATCTTGTTGAATTAAACCGTTATTTATCACTAGTCAAGAAGTGTATGAGCGATATGATAAAGAATAGAGGGACCAGACTGTAAAATAAAGGCCCACATGCTGCCCTCGAACTATGCACGACTTCATATGAGATTTATATTTGCTCAGGTACAAAAGCATAAAGTTTCACATTTTACATTTTTTCTAATGT